CCCTGACCCCATCTCCCCAGGCTCACCCACTCTGGCCACATGTGCCTCATTAAAGTCCCTCTAACCTGCCCAGCGCATCCAGCCCCAGGGCGTTTGCCGTGGCCACCGTCCACCGTCCACCTGGAACTCCATCCTCTGGTCACGTGTGTCTGCATGTATGTCGTTCAGTCCACCTCCTCAGAGAGGCCCCACATCCCGTGTGTCCTTTGCAGCACGTCTGAAATACTCGTCTGTTCCGTGTTCACCTGGCTGCTGTGTGTCCCCCTGTGAGCCTGCCTATCTCTGTCACCAGCGTGTCTCCAGCACCCAGCCCAAGGCCAGGCACACAGCAGAGCTTAGGACATGGGTGCTGAGTGACTGAACTCTCCTGCTACAGACGCCAAAGGACAAGAGGAAGCCACCAGACACCATGAGATGAGGAGTGGGCAGAGCTCACAGTGAACAGGCTGAAAGCGGGATGGCAGAACCCACATAAACATAAGCGAGGTGGAAAATTATCTCCCCCCTTTCATTATCTTCACTCCACAATTATGAAAGAACTCACACTGGGGAGAAACCCTATGACTGTAAGGAAGGCGGGGAGGCCTTCTCCTGTCTCGCAGGAAGTCATGTGGTAGTAGGCACTGGAGATGGACCTCATAAATGCAAGGTAGGTGGGAAAGGCTTGGACTGTCACAGTTCATTTGAAATCCACGAAAGGGGCCAGAATGGAGAAAAGTCCTACGAATGTAAACCATGTGGGAAAGCCTTTGGTTGACAGTTCCTTTTGAAGTCATGAAAGAACTCACACTGGAAAGAAACTCTACAGATTTAAACAGGCCTTTAGTTTTTAAAATTCTGTTCAAAAATATGAAAGAACTCACACTGGAGAGAAACCTTATGAATGTAAGAAGTGTGGGAAAGTCTATTTCTCTCACTTGTTCAAAGGCACATGATAGTGCACACTGGAGATGGGCCTTATAAATGTTAGGTATGTGGGAAAACCTTTGGCTGCTGCAGTTCATTTCAAATGCATGACAGTGGTCACACAGGAGAAAAGCCCTAGATATGTGAACAGTGTGGCGAAGCCCTCCGTTGGTTCTGTCCCTGCAGAGAAGTCCTATGAACGTAAGGAATGGGGAGAGCCTTCCTTTCTCCTGCAAGTGTTAGAAGTCGCGTGGTTGTGCCCACTGGACATGGACCTGATTGCTGTGAGATGTGGGCAAGCCTTGGACCGTCCCAGTTCATTTTGAAGGCATGAAAGGACTCACAATGGAGAGAAGCTGTATGAATGTAAACAGCGTGGCACATAAAGCCTTGGCTAGTGTAGTTTTCTCAAATACGTGACAGAATTCACACTGGAGAGAAACCTTATGAATGTAAAGAATGTGGTAAAGTTACTTTTGAAAGCATGAAAAAGCTCATACTGGATAAAAATGCTAAATGTAAGGAGTATGGAAAAGCCTTCAGTTGGTTCATATGCTGAGAGACATGTACAATTTGTACGGGATTGAAACCCTATTGGTTTCAAGAATACCAGGAAGGTTTGAAGTTTTAACAAATATTTAAAGTCATATAAAAACTCACAAGGCAGTAAAATTCTATAAATGTCAGTAATAAGGAAATGTTGATGGTAACTAATTCATGTATAATGCTCTAAAAAATTTACAATGTGAAAGAAGGGTTGTAAAATAATATAATGCATTATGTTTACTAGTGACTTAAAAAAAAAAAGAGCAAGGTAGAAACTTTCACCGGTTCTCTCAGCTCTTGATAATATAAGGTGGATCCCAGAGAGTAATGGGTGGGACCTGCTGCAGGGATTCAGATAAGAGATAAGGGGAGCTCGGTGTCACATGGGGCTGTCCAGGAGGGCTTAGGGGTGGACCAATCTTTGGTAGGTAGGAAAGGAGTTCTGGGCACAATGTGTTGAGTGGGTGCTGAGTCCAGGCAGGGATCCTGGGAAATAAGGGTAGGGAGGATGGGCAAGGGGGAGGCATGTGGCTGGAGACTGGGGATACAGTGAGGAGTGAAGCGGACCCAGTACCTGCTGTTTGGGAGGCAGCAGCAAGCGTGGCACTTGGAAGCAAGCCTCGCTGTGTTGATTCCAGGGGCTGTTTTGTTTATTTATTGCAGGCATTCAACCCTGGCAGGACTGCGGAGTCAGCACTGAGTGCAGGACAGGGAAGGGGTGAGGTGTCCCTTTCTGCATCCTCCTACAGCCTTTTCCCTTCCAGTTCCTAGTGCCTAACCCAGGTCAATTGCATACAAAGGGGCACGAACCATTCTTATTTCCTGCATCAGTCAAGTCACTTAAAAAAATAAATAAAATAAAATTTGTTCTAGTAACCAGAGATTGGCACCAGCTTTCTTAATAGCCATGGGTTAGATCTTAAAAGTCTCCAAGCACAATCCTCATCTGAGGACTGAATTGTCCTTGAAACCATCTCTGCTAGTTGGTTTTGGGTTTCTTAGCATAGCTTGGGTGGGAAGAGCTCTATATCCTTAAAGTGATTCTGGTAGCCCAGCCTCCACCAGTTAGGGCGAGAATAGACACACAGATAAATACATACACACACAGCTGCATATGCATCCTGATCAGTTTGGTCTCAAGATTTAACACCTTGAAAATAGCGAGTAAGTCTCACATGTTCTTATTTAGTAAATGTTTGGTACATATTATTTTCAACAAGCATTTTAATTAGTAGGAATCAATTTATCTCCACACGTAGAACATCAATTTTGAGGGGGGTACCAAATTATTAGTCTCCTGGGGCATCTGCCTGATTTCTTTGACCTTGGACGGGTAAGTAGAGGCCAGAAAGTGAAGAATCTACATGAAATTGAGGTGCAGTTCTACAGCCCAGGAGGCGCTACTGAAGGATTTTGAGCTGGGGAGAAACATGATGAGATTTGTGTTTTAGGAACAGGATTTTTTTAAGTGGCAGCTTAGAGATCATACTGGGAGAACTTTAGCCCAGAGGGAGGAAGACCCGGTAGAAGGTTACTGGTTACTGTAATGACCGAAGTAATGGATAGCAAGGGCCTGAACTCATGAAGGGGAGTAGGGAAGAGAAGGGGCTGCTGGTGGGGAACTCGGTGTAAAAGGACAGTTGGAGGTGGGAAGTCAGGATAGTGTCCACGGTTTGGACTTGGCCAGATGGTGGTACCACCTCACTACCCAAGGGGCTCCCTGACAAAGGGACTTAAGAGTCAGAAGACACCAGAGCTACTGCTGTTGCAGAACTTGGGAAACATCTTGCCACTGCCTCGTCTCCCACACGGGCTAACTGCTTTGAGACTTCACTCTCTCTGCTTTGGGTTTTTTATTGTTGTTTTGTTTTTGTCAGGTCTCCCAGAACAAGGTGACTACTGCAAGGATTTTCTCAGAACATGATTATTTTCACTCACGTTCTAACTAGAGATTACAGACCCTAACCAACAGGCAACTTGGGAGCCCCCAAATACCTGCGCGCAGGAAAGGGGCCTTCCTGCGTGTCCCATGCAGCACCCAGGCAAGCCGGTCTCCCAGGTGGGACTGCTGTACAAGGTCTTCCTGGGAGAAGAAAAATCCAACCAGGAGTACTTGGTGTTTCCACTTTCCCCACTTCCATGCTGAAAACCTGGGGATGTCAGAAATACCCAGAGATAGTAGCGGGAATCCACAACAGGGGAGCCTGTTCTCTTTATAGGAGAAAATTTCCAGGCCTGTTGAGATCTTCAACGTGATGTGATTATAGCAGAAAATAAATAGCGATACTGTAAGGTTAGGCTGAGGAAGTGTTTGAAACAGTCCCCACCCTCCCCCCGGCCTGTTTTACCCTGGTGTGCAGGTGTCATGTGAGAACTCAGACTTCCCTTCTCTCCAGGCAGGGGTGACAGCAATGGCCTCAGGTGGCCACAGAACGTACTATGGGCAGCTGCGGTGAGGGGCGAAGTGACCTTGTGGCAGAAATGCCATAAAGCTATCCATGGGGAACCCTAACCCAGCCCCTGGAAGACCAGCCCTAAGAGAGGAACGCTAAAAAGTAGGCCGAGTTCCTCCACAGCAAACGCCGAGTCACAAGAGAAGCAAAATGGGGAGACGCGACCTACCCAGCTCCGGGTCTGGCTGGCGCGGGGATCCCAGCGGGTGTCCCCCAGGAGCCCTGCACGAGCACGGTCCTCGGCACTCCGCAGGTCTCTGCAGTGTCTGCTCTGCTCACTAGGTGAGCCTTTCTCCTGCTGGAAAGGGAGCTGCTTCTCTCCAGTAACAGGAATACTTCACTACAGAACACCTGCAAGTCTAAAGCTTTAGGAATCTCATTTGTTTAGAGTAGTGAATAAAAAGCGATACTCTAGTTGCTCATGGGGCATCCAGAAGACCTCGAAGAACTCAACCTGCTACGGTCCCTCATGCCCTGGAGTTGGGTTCTGTGGCTAGTGCACCAGGGCCAGGACCCGAAGTTTCATTTTGAGGTTTGCCACTTTGAACAAGAACAGGCTTCTGAGTTCACATAAGCCTTGCTCGTGTTTCCAGTACCAGCTATCCCATCGGTCATGAGAAAGTCCTGTAGTATCCTTAGCAATGGGCATTTCTTTCGTCTCCTATTCCCTCTAGGGCTTCCCATTCTCCCTTGTCTCCTGCACGGCTCCAGATCCTAGGAGGACCCAGTGCCGCCAGCCGTCATGGGTAAGGTATGGGACAAGGACAATGGTGGCCAAGCTCAGTGGTCCTCCTTTCTCTGCTCCCACTTGGTGTCTCAGAGGCAATGCCCCTGTGTGCTCTGTGCCCACTTCCCGGTGATTAGGAGCCCAAGAAAGTCATCTTCAGGTCTTCTTTATCTTTTCCCTTGTAAAGACAAGCCCTTCACACAGATGTTTGACAACAGGTGGTTTCATCCATTAGGACTGTGCAATGCCAATACTACTGCCCACACAGGGATTGAGGGAAAGGGCAATGTATCAAGAAAGAAGTGTCCTCGGAGACTTTATTAGCAGCTTAGGCTAAGTTCTGCTGCATAACAAACCACTCCCAAATCTCAGAGGCTTCTAATGATGTTTTATTTGACTCAAGTTACACATCTTTTACAAGCTGGAGCTCTGCTCCATATAGCCTTTATTCCAAGACCCAGGCTGACAGAGACACTTCACCTGGTACAGCACAGGTGTCCTAGCAGAGCAGGTAGGGCAAGCACAGGCTACCTTGTACAACTTTGGCAAACAGGCCACTTGGGTCACTTCTCCCCATTTTTCACGGGACAGAGAAAGACACCTGACCGCTCATGAGTTCATCGTGGTGAGCCATATAATCCTCCCGCAGGAAGGGGATGCCACATACCAAAGGCCCAGCTTGACCTGATGGGCAGGATGTATAATTCTCTGGTAGGGAGGGACAGAGGACAAACTGAATACTAGCAGGACCCAAAGTGTGTGTGCAGCTAGTTTTCCCTTGTCCCCACAGCGTTACTACCCTTTGCCATTCCACCCACCCACAGCTCCTCTGCCGTCAGGGTGTCACCAGGCTTGGAGTTGTTCCCAGTATCTGGGCTGGTAAGGGAGGGAGTTCCCAGCCCTTCTCAAGTGGGGTGAGGTGATGACGGTTGTCGGAGTCCCCAAATCTCAGCATATGAGAACACTGATGTGACTTCCAACACATGGTACTTAGGTTCTGCATAACCCAAAAGCAGGATAAGTGAGTTAGGTTTCTGTGGGCTGCCTGAGAACCTCAATGAGCAAATGACTTGTGAGTTCCAACAACTGAGCATCAGATGCTGCGAGAACACAGGCTATTTAGCCCACAAACATCACAGAAAAAGCAAGAGGCCATGAGGCGTGAAGTGTATCTTTAACATAGTCTTGTATTTGGAAAAGCAGTTTAAAAAAAATTTGAAAATACAAGATAAGGTAACAATTACTTATATAAGTTTAAACCTTATATTGCTTGGCCATTTTTACATATAAATTATTGCTTACTAGCTTTGATAAATACACAGCACGGTCATATATACAGAGGCAGAAAGCATGAAATATGAGAAACACTGTTAATGGCAATTCTGGTAATTCAACAAATGTTTCATATTTACCAGCTCTTGTAATGGTGGAAAACTACGAAGTGTAGTCCCTGAGAAGTTAGGTAGACACCCTGATTGCGGGTTTTCTATCTTCTAATTGTTAGCACGAGCTGACAACGTCACAGCAGTCCTAATTAATGATATATTACAAGGCAAGATTCCTTGCTTCAGGTCATCGATTACATCCCAGTATTTAATAACAGTGTAATACGAATACAATAAATAGGCTATGCAAATAAATATTACTCTGCTAAAAAATGTTTAGTATATACAGCTTTGCTTTGTACAGTAGTACATTTTCATCTAACTTTTTGGCAATTGTTAAAAAACATTTTCACGCTACCAGTTTTAAGCAAAACAGGCCTACTCAGTAATAAGCAGGCTGAAATTTTATGGACACGCCTTTGAAGCGTTTGAAAGAAATCCTGTGTTGGACAACTGCAGTGGACCTGACTTTCCCCAGGAAAATGTTTTTTTGCCCAGTTTCTGTGAAGCTTGAATTGGCTGTGCCATTTAGAAACACTCAGTTCAGGAGCTGTGGGGTACATGCTGGAGCAAACAGAAATGCAGGGCTGATATTTGGGCAGCAGTGATAGCCTAGTTCCAGGGATCAGAAGTTGTCACTGGCATCCTCTCTCTCATGTGACTGTTTCTCCCCTACTCAGAAGCGAGTATGTATTTATGCAACATCTTCTCCCTACGAACTAGAAGGTGCGAGTGTTTATCCTAATGCTTCTAAATCCAGTGTATGCTCCACACTACCTGCTTGTGGATATTGGCCTAAGAAAATGAATTAATTCTAAACATAGTTAAGGATACTAGAAAAAAGTAAACGTGGGTCATAATATTTATCACTACAAACATTTCATAATTATACAGATTATAACAAAGAGTGAATTTAAAACACTGTAGTCTATGGAACATCTGCAAATGTGTATGTAAAAATATTTTTAAAAATTGGAAAGGCTGCAATTTTTGCCTACAGGAACCTGTGTTTTGCTGTCCTGTGTTAACTTCCAAGCAGGGCTGCTTTGCTGAAATGCTGACAAATCCAAAGACCCATAGGACTGTCCAAGAGTTGTGCTGTAACAAAAGAACCCACTTGCACCAACTGCTGTTGACAGTGGCAAATTACACAAGATTTTCAGAGCGAACAGGGATTTTATGCAATCATAAAAATCCAAAGGAGAGCTGGAAAAGAGCTTAGACATCTTCCAGTCCACCCTTCTAGCCAGAGCAAAATCTATTCTGAAGAGGCTTTGGTGAATATCCAGAGAGGGAATACGGTCCATCCCTATTAACAGGGAGTGCTTAAATCCTGCACTGGCCTGTTCACGGCTGAACCGCTCAGATTCTTTAGAAAGAGCTTCTTGTTGAGCAAAGTCTGGTTCTCACAATTCTGCCTGAAGTTCTTTAATTCCGGTTTTAAGACCCCTCAAAGCTTCTGAAATTTCAAAGAGTTGCTGCCTGGAAAAGCTCTGGAGACAGTTGTTAAATTTCAGAAAGGTTTAAAGATTTCAGACATTCAGAAGACAGGAATGGAAAAACAAATCTAAACAAAATCCCCCCTTCCCTTTGCTACCCCGAGAGCCACCTGACCATGGCTGGAGGAAAAGGTGGGCAAGCATCATCTTTCCGCCAGCCTGCTTCCACCCATTCTATGCGAGATACTCAGAATACACCATACAAAAGGTGTTTAACACAACACACATGTAGCTTCATCTGGCCAAGTGTACATATCTGAATCAGGATCTAAGTAGCAGGTGCTATGCTGAAATAGTTTTCTACTGAAAATTAGTCCTCTAAAGGTAATGTTCTACTTGGATCAATGCAGACCTAATGTAAGTAAAACTTTAAATTATAAAAAACACAGAGACAATGTCAAAATGGCCTTATGTGATTAGACTGGCCAAACCCTAGTCCCTTGCTATACAAAGACAAGAACATGTGTTTGTGCTGTAAGCCCATGCTAGCCTCAGTAATTGTCAAGGGGAGGGCTTTTTGAGGGTCTGACCAGCTGTGAGGGAAGTCTCTTTTCTCTGGTTCTCATGGCTACGGTCTCCTCCAGTGGGTCTCATTCCATTATCAGCAGCATGAAGCATTTCTCTGAGTGGTCCAGCCCTGGATGGTGCCTTTCTATAAAACCCTGTAGATTTTCAGGACTGAAGTTTTACATGTTGGGCCAGACTGAGTTCCTTTGAAAGTCCTACCAAAATTTTTCTCCACATGGTTCCTTCCAGCAGTATTTCAAGCTCAGTAGGGTTCCTGAGCCCAGGAAACAGCACTGCTATAAAGGTGTCAGAAAGCATTGGCCACACCTCAGTAACGAGAATGAATAAGGGGTTGATGAGACACATAAGCAGCAGGTCTGGATGGGCACCTAAGAGATGAGTGGATAGGAATGGTAAGAAGTACACCAACATTCACACATTTGGAAAATCAATGGACCTCATGCAAGAATGCCCTTGCTTTTTAGCAAAGTGACAAATACCTAGCTGGAAGGGGTGGATTTCATTATTTAACCTATAGGGTTTTTTGTTCATTTGCAGGTTGAGGGAAATCCTCTAACCAGTCCTTGAGAATAACAAGAGGTCTTATTTGCTATAGAAGCCCCAACTTGCAAAAATTGGGGGGAAAAAAAAAAAAGGTTGGAAGACTCTGAGACTTTAGTGGGGAAGAAAAGCGAATTGTAGAAAGGCTTCCTGCTTCAGCTGGTAAGTGGACTACAGAACTTCTAAGTCACCAACATAAATCAGATGTTGGGATATTTCAGGGTACTCTTCATTTGCCCAAAGACCGGTAATCACCACTGCCTTATTACCTTGCTCTTTTAGAGAGTGATAAGTGCTTCACACATCAAATCTCACTTAACCTCCCTGCACTGGCTGTTGTCATTACACACTATTGGCAAGAAGCCTGCGTGAGGTATGCAAAACACTAGGACATCATCAGGCACAAGAATGCAGACCTCTGTGACTCTGTAATCTCAATAAACAGTTACTGAGTGCCTACAATGTGTCAGGCACCATGCTTTTTCAAAAACCATACTGTGCCCAATAAGAGATGAGAGCCTGCTTACAAACATAAAGAAAATCCCCAGAAATTAAATGAGTCAACTTCTTAAAGATTACTCCTTTTCCGTATCGGCAAAGTAACTTAGTCTAACCTGCCTATAGTTGCAAATCTGTTGTACAGAAACTAATTTCACCTGCAGGTAAACACTGATAAGTGATTGTGGATGCAAAGACGTGCATGTCTTGACATTTCTCATCTGCAAGTCAGAGCACGGGTACCAATTGCTGCTCCTTACAAACGCCCTGGACAAAAGTGGCTTTTGGTGATATCATCGTCTATATTGACAGAGACCTCTCCTCTTCCCTGGACGTCTAGAGATGTCATCACTGTCTTTAGGCATGCAAAAGAACTACTTTGACAGCCTATAAACAGTAATCTAATACCAGGCAAGGTAAAACTTCCTGTTTCATTCATGCTCTTACTGAAATATTTGGTCACTGCCCATCAAGACACGTTCTCTCGTTCTTGGTGCCGACACATATCAAGTTGAAAATTGGATTGGATCAACAATGTGATGGTAAGAAACCAGACTTCTCCATCTCAGGAATGCTTCTGACTTCTCTTTCTGCCTTCTCATCGTGCAAGTGGCACAGAGAGGCCTCTCCCCATGTCTGGTGGCTGACGTCACTTCCCAAACACGCTTCGGCTGGCTTTCCTGTGAAAGACTTGTGGTCTACTGATAAAACTCAGCAACTTTTCTCACAGGAAAGCAGTGTGCCTGGCACAGACATTCCTATAGCTCAAAGTGCTTCAGTTTCAGGGGAGGTGAGGCCTTGAGCTCACACGCGAGGCTCGATCCTGTGAGAGAGCTCAAACAGAGCCTGCTGGCTGTCAATAACGTACAGGTGATTAACGTAGGATCTCAACTCTTGATGCTCTTTTGGAGACACATCACCTCCTATTTTTTTAGAAGGAAAAAAGACAATGTCATGAGAGCAGTAATGCTATGTCTAAATACCAGTAAAACCCCACATTAAGGCTTAGAGTAAATCTACCAGGTAGATTCTCATTAGTCAGAATCCCAGAAAAGATGTCCTTGTCCTAACAGTAGAAATCCTTTTCCAGCTCAGACTAGATTCCTCCAGTCAGGCAATCAGACTGGCAAGTATTTATAGCAAGAAATTATATTATCCCCATGCACAGATGTGAACACCAAGCATAGTCACACAGCAAGAAAGTGGTACAGCCAGGATTCGAATCTAGGCCATGAGGCTCCCAAGTCCAAGGTCTGAGCTCCCATGCTACGCAGGCTTTCACAGCACCTGCCCGTTCAAACGGCCTGCACCGGCTCTTAGATCTCAGTCTGGAATTGTTAGAAATTCCTAATAATCTGTTTAGCACATGAACACACAACTCTAGTTTTTTAAAAATAGATTTTTTACAATTCTTTGGTATCATTTTTTGGGTAAAAATAATTTAATGAACCAATTAAATGAACAGATACCACAGAACAGAGCCTAAGGTATGGTTAAAGTGGGTTCAGAAAGTATGCACATGGGCTTGAGTCCACCCAAAGAAGAACAAGGCAAGGGGGTTTTCCACTCACGAAGCCAGGTGGCCAAAGAGTCAAGGGGCCACGAGAGGCTTTGGTGCTCTGTGACACATGCGTGCCATGCTAGTGACAGCTCTGATAAAAAACCAGAGAAAGGGGCCGGCCCGGTGGCGCACTGGATAAGTGTGCCGCTTGGGAAGCGCGGCGGCGCTCCCGCCCGAGGGTTCGGATCCCACATACAGACCGGTTCCCGCTCACTGGCTGAGCGAGGCGCAGGAGCAGCATCGAGGGTTGTGATCCTGTTGCCGGTCCCCGGTCCGGTACGGGGGCAACACTGAGGGTTGTGATCCGTTGCCGGACACGGAAAAAAAGGACCAAAAAATAAAAAACAGAGATAAAGTGGCATGGACAATGGAGCAAGATCATGTACCATATTCAATGACAATCGAAAAACAAAACAATTCAAGGTATGGTGACCTTGCGCTATAGAGAGACAATGTAAATGCATGTGGTGATGACGTTGCATCCTCTGGCATCATGGAACTACGGATGGGAGAGGCAGGATGTGACACTGGAGCAGAGCCTGAGCAGGAGGACGGGAATAAGAGGAGGCTGAGCATTTTATTGAAGCATTTTTTTTTCTCTTGGTGAAGACGCCTTTTTTCCTTTTCTAAGACAAATGTGTTTTATGAAGAAATAATTTAAGACTTGTATGTCACAGGTGGCTTGTAACTCTTAGGTTTAACAGAAACTAGGCTTCCTGGTTTCAGCAAGTAAAAGTACTAGGAGTTAAAGTTTTTACCATCCCATCTGTTTGTGACCAAAAAGCTGTATTATTCTAGAATGCCTTGTTTAGAAGACATTGAGACTGCTTTTGGTTTAGTAAACAATGGTTTGGAAAACACGGCGCTACAGAGAATTTTGTTGTTAATTTGCAAACCTTACAAAGACAGCACAATGAATGGTCGCATTCATGACAAATGACACTTGCACACTTTATAATTTGTAAGTGACTTGATTAGCATTATCTTATTCTATCCCAAATGCTGACATTGGTTTACTATGCCCATATAAACTCTTAAAATGAATTCACATAATTCAGCCCCAATCCCCACTTTTAAAGATATGCAACTATTAGAACACAAACTGTCTTGATAGTTATTCAAATTTCTCCTTTGCTTAGTGCTATGCAGAGAGTTACTCTTTGGTGACTGGGAGGTTCAAGGCCAGCCCAAGTTCTAATTTGGATCTTTCTGTTCATACTTGAAGCATACATATAAGCTAGAATCCCTTAGGGAATGAGATTGATGTCTGAGAATTAGCTGAACACCTGGCAAATACTTGGGAAGCAAAGAGGAAGAAAGAAATAAGAAGCCATATTCATCAGCAACATTATGCTCGTACATTTGAATTAATCTCCATGACAATGTTGTTATTACAACTGTATTATACTTGTGTGCTTAATGAAGAAATATAGAAGCATACATATTGAGTATTAATTGATGTGAATATTTAGAAAATTAGTTCTTATATTTATAATCTTCCTGTTCAAATAGAAAACTTGTAATCCATACATACAGGTGTTCAATTCCTAACTTGTTTTGTTGGAGGACAATATTGCCCGCCAAGACCAGCACTGAACCGAAAAATATTCTCGAGAATGTGTACCAAATTGTACGCCAAGTAGTGCTTACCTTGGGAGATGGGACTTTGATGCTCTACTTTATATACACTTCTGCATTGTTGAAAACATTGCTTTACAATGAGGATGTATTCCCTAAACTAAGTTTTACTTAGTTGTTACCTTTGATTGATTTATAATTATTGAGCTCAACTTTCTATTTTTTTTTTATTACTCCTTATAGAATCTGCATAGGGCAAAGGAAACGGCATGGGCAAGAAAGTCAGGCAGCCTCAGTTTGAATAATGGCTGAATGAGTTAACCTCACTGAGCCTCCGTTTTCTGCTCTGCACCTGCAGGGTTAATAATCCCCATTCCGTAGGACTGATGTCAGGATTCCGTTGCCCATGTGAAAGCTCCTTTAGCTCAATAAAGCTGATTTCCTTCCTTCCTGCAATGTTCTTAAACCGTTTAAACATAGTATAAATTATGCCTCAGATTCAAAATGGAACAAATATTCGTACATACATTAGTCTCAGTGGGAATTCTACAAAAGTGCTCAGAAAAATACTTTCTCAGCTGAAAGGCAGCTTCAGACAGGAAGTTTTTGTTGGAAAAGAGAAAGGATTCTGGAAGGCTGCTTTCGGCACTTTTACAAACTATAGTCCTATTCTAGGAAGGCTCCAAGCAGGAGGGACAGGGTCACCCCTGCTACACTCACCAGTAATTCTGAGCCAAAGGGCAAGCACAGCAGGACTGTCTGGGACCAAGGGTGTGTGGGGGAGCTTCTGATGGTCTAAAGTCACTTGCACAGTGTATTTTCTGCCATGAGGGGCTAATAATTTGCCCTATCTTGTCTTTCTCTGCATCTCAAACATGCAGTGAGAGAACAAATCTAGTATCTGCATATAATATGCAGACATATATATGAGGGATCTTCAAAAAGTTCTAGGAAAGATTCATACTGCCTTTTAATTCTATTTTTCCATGAACTTTTTGAAGTATCCTCATACATATTAAGCTTTTCGATCTGTTTAAATGTATTACCACTAAATACTTGTGATATGGCCATAGTCGGTAGCAATGTATAGTCAATTTACATTCCATACCTGACTTCAATTACTCACCAAACTGGTTAGTCCTGCAGTGTCTCAGGGTTCGGACAGTGTCTGCAATCATGTGCTGGAAGGTAGAACGGACATATGTCAAAACAAGGGACATTTAGGGTGCTGCTGAAGCCTCAGGGCCTGCTAGGGCAGATGGATAGTCTAACACCTTTGGGTGTAAATGAAGAGCTGTATTTGAAGCTGAATATAACTTTAATCGATTATATTGAGCTTGATACAAAAGAATATTTAGTCCTTGTCTGCAGAAACAGTGGTTCCCACACCGGGCTGCACGGATTCTAACTAAGCCCTGAGAAAACTCACTGTAAAGAAGCGCAGCCCACCCACCCACCTGTGCTTATGCTTTTCACTTCAGTGACATGTCACATTCTTGCCATGAAGCCCTTCTGAGATCTCCCTTCTGGCCTTGGGAGGCTCCATTCTCAACACTCCCACTCTTCTTTGCATGATACCTATTGGTTTTGTGTCATGGTCATTGCTGTGGAACTTTTCTCCCATCCAGACCGGGTACCACCAGAGGGCTCTGTGTGCCCAGTACCTGCCACATGTCACACACACAGACCCATGCATATGTGCTGAATGGAGGTAGGAAGTTTCGTGGACTCAAAGGTTCATGTATCTCAAATGGTGACAGGAAATGAGATACAAAGATGAACATTTTCTAAAACAACATGTACAGAGACCATTTTCTGTTTATAATCTACATTCCTTCCTACCGTCCTCAGCATTCTAATGCAACTTCTTTCTTTAAAGTCCTCACTGATATCCAGGCAAAAGTCTTCTTAAATCTGAAGCTGTTTTGACAAGATCCCATCACCTCATAGGTGTGACTCAGAGACCATTTTCTGTTTATAATCTACATTCCTTCCTACCGTCCTCAGCATTCTAATGCAACTTCTTTCTTTAAAGTCCTCACTGATATCCGGGCAAAAGTCTTCTTAAATCTGAAGCTGTTTTGACAAGATCCCATCACCTCATAGGTGTGACAGTCTTCTAGCTGTGTCTACCATTTTTAGTTTTCTATGATGAAGGAAACAGCATTCTAGAAGAGACCATCCTCCACTATAACTCCACCTATACAGTTACCAGAATAATTTCTATGTACTGTTGTCATCATGTCTAGCCCTCTGGAGAACCTACTCCCCCTATTTTGTCTTGGGAATCGACATCCTTCATTACCTGGTCCTCCAAACCTCCCCAAGAGTGTCATCACCTTTCATGTCCTGCCTGTACACATGGAACATAGCATCATCTATACCCAGCAAAGAGTCAGTGCATTACTGCTGAAACAGTAATGTTAACACTAACAAAATTTCTTTATAAAATCCAGAACTACAGAAACATTATTTGAATATGACCTATTGATTATTCTCACAACTATATTTCTAATGTACTTCTACCTAATAGTAGAAAAGTAAATAGGACAGTGATTATAGCAGTAGCTCAAGCTGCATTTGTCAAGGAAATGAGACCTGACTCATGTCTGTGAATGTACTGTTAAATTTCCTTCCCCAAATTTTACCACTATTCTCAGGACAGTTTTCCCATTGCTTTAGGCTGTGGCATCACACTGATTTCTGTCATGTGCCACTGTGTGGTCCATGCAAAGCTAGGGCTGATATAAGCCTTGGTACTGAGCAGGGCATTGAAACCAAGTCCCGATCCTCTTTAAGGCTTTCTGAAGGAGAAGAGAGGATGATATGGTAAAATACGATGCTCTCAACATAGAGGGATGAAGAGAAGAAAAGGAAAAAACATTTGTTTCTTCATTATTTAATAGTTTGAGATGGAAACATTTAGAGTTGCTGAGGCAGCAAGGAACTTAGCATTAGGGAGCAATAAAAATCTTATAGACCCAATGAGCACTTCTGGGTCTCCACATGGTCTGACTTAATGTGTTGGCCTGTATCAGCCAAGAAAGATAATACACTGAATTACCTGCTGGCTGGCTTACGCTGATATCCATCATGAGAAATTGGCTTCTCACAAGTTAATTCACTTCGATTCTATTGGTTCATTATTGTGAAAGATGATCCTATTTTAGTTTAAGTGAAACCCTGTCCTTTGCTAAGAAACATTCCTTGAAAATACTGTCTCCAGTAGGAAGGTCAGTCTCATTCTCCGGCATCCACATATAACATAGGGCTATGTATGATATAAAACTGATTTTTGTCCTTCTGGAAAAAAATTACCCTGTCTTCTCCATGTAAGGAGGGGTCAGCATGAGGCAGGCTGTGTCTTAAGTGCCATCTTCTTTGAGGACCAGGAGGTCACAAATACCACGAAGTCTGCTATCTTTACAAATGATGTGCTAGTAACTGCCTGATGGTTTTGTGTGTGGGTCTGCTGTGTGCATGCACCCACCTTCTCGTTCTCTTCTTAATGAATGTTCTTGTTAGGAATTAAACATAGGATGTTATTTATGCCATGCTATTTCCTTAAACTTTCTTACAGAATTAAGGGCCCAGTTATTGACCCTAATATAAGTAATATCATTTAGACATTATTTTGCTCCCTGTGCTTAGTTGAAAGTCTCAGCACAGGTGGAAGCTGGCACTAAAAGGCTTCCGTCGGATTGTTGGAGAAAGCAGGGGCAGGTGTAGATGCTGGTCAGAAGGAAAGGGCATAGAAAGGGTAGAGGGATCCTCCCACTGCACTTTCCCACTTGTGCCTTTATCCAATTGTCCTTTCACCTTGGTGGCATTATCGGTGGGGAGATGACACAATGAACTTAACCAGAACACAGGTTCACATTAGGGGAAGGTCAACTACCAGTCTCCCTCAACAATAGGCAGTGTCGGCTTATGAAGAGAGCAGTTATTCTCCCATGTCCCCTGGGGATCAATCAGAAGGAAAAATGACTAGATCTTTACAGGTAATTCCACTTGGGGTGACAGGCCTCATCCCACATCTTCATCCATGCTCTACAAAGCTCACTTGGTTGGCATTCCTAACCAGATGTGCTGGCCAGCAGGCAAAGTAAATTTTGACCAAAGGTTTCATATTCCCACAATCACTTCATTATCACCAACACTGGAGATTAACCTGCTTAGAGATGGGAATTCTAGTGACTGCAGTCTTTAGTTGCTAATAGGTGCCTTGGAATCTTCAGAACATCACATGGCAACACAAAATAAGTACAAAAAAACCCTGAAACACTTTAAATATCCATTTCCAGCTGTTTCTGGTTGACTACAGCATCTAAAACAACTGAGCTCTGATTCCAAAACATTTAGTGCAGAAACAGACTTGAAAAATTATAGACATCTCCACTTCAAAAATAATTAGCCATGAAGTAATCATTTTCAGAGTGGTTACAATGGAGCTATGGCAAGATATTCCATATGTCTGTCTTCCAGATTGTAGGTACATGCGGCTCGGAGTTGGGCAAGAGCCGACGGCACGTTCCCACGCTGCCTGTCTCACACGTGGCCAGTTAGCTTGCCTATTAGAGCAACGACTTAGGAGGCGACGGCAGACGCCAGGCCTCACTGGACTCATCAGCTCATGCTGCTCTTTGGTCACGGTCTGCGACTCCTACCTCACTCAGCTCCTCTAAAACACCAGATGTGGTCTCAGAGGGAACCCGGGTCAGTGTCTGAAAGAGTTCACCCCAATCCATCACCATTTCTGAAAAGGTCACTCAAAGGTCAGGATCTATGAGAGGGGTTACTTTGTATCATCTTTAACCATGAAGGACAGTTTAATCTATGACACTAAAGTTCATCTGTCAGACAAATCTCTTCCTCCCCTAGTCAAGCGGGTCTCTTTGGAGTATTCCTACTTTACAGCTGCTCAGTTTTTACATGTAACTCTTCCTTTGCCCATGGGCAGGTCAGAAAAGCTTGGAGGAGCCCAAAGCATGACAAAGTCCCTGGGAATATATGGAGAAAATTCAGGCATTTTAGGAATAAGTAAGAGAGGTCTGACCAGGGACCCATGACCCTTTGTCAGAGCTGCTATGTGTGTAGTGCTCAGAAGTGGCACCACTGGTACACTGGCTGTTACGGGGGTGGCCCTTCTCTCACATGTGGACCCTACAAATTCCAGCCTTATATCCAAGCTTGGAATACTGGAAGACAGGCACATCTCCCCAGGAAAAACTTTCTCCTCCATCTGAGATCAGCACACACTGAGACATCAAGATGCCTACAAAGCAGTAAAGCTTAATCTCAAGACTGTGAATTCCTCTGATGGGAACCTTACAGTTTTATTTCTGGTTCAGTAAAATACACTCAACCATTGACGTTAACCTAATGAAACTTCATTTTTAAAAATGAAAAGCAGATTTTCATATTTGGCTCTTAAAACTTTGCTAGCATACTTACTGTTAATTGGGACACACTGTATTGACAATGCATAACATGCAGCAAATAAGCTGGAAATCACCATGCATTCAACAGAGAAAGGAACTAAAACCATTTGTTTCCTGGAGCAGAAAAGCAAACATTTCCTCTGAGTAGAAAAGGGAGAAATAATGAAATTTACGTACCAGCTTTTCAAAATTGACAAGATTATCCAAAAACGTTTTATTTCCTTCATGAATAAATGTTACATCTGAAAATTAAAAACAAAAAAAAATATGTACCATTAGGAATGGATCATGAGTTCTAGCTGAAAAGGTCTAGATATAATGCAAATTATTCATTTCTCTTAAACATTATGAATCACTCCATACACTTGGCAAGGCAACATGAAATTGAATCTGCACAGTACATGATGTGCATCATTTGTGTGTGTGTGTGTGTGTATGGACAAACAGCATAACATTACTTAAAGTACATATTTTACACAATCAGGGGCCGGCCCGGTGGCGCACTGGATAGTGCGCCGCTTGGGAAGCGCGGCAGCGCT